AGAGTGGCAAGCTGTGCGCTGTCAGCACTCCCCGCGGGCGCCTCTGGAGCGCAGGAACCGAGCTGGGTGAGGAGGCTGCTGCCTTTCTGCGTCTCGGCTTTTTCTCTTCTGATTTCTGATAACTTCTGCTGGTAGCCCGTTTCATGGCTGGCCTGAAGATTGTCTTTTTCTCTTTAGTGTCGTGACTGGAGACCGGACCGCGGCTGTCTGGAAGCTGCTCCGCAAAGCAGCCTGTGAGCGGTGCCAGCTTAGCGCCCCTGCTGGCAGCGCCCAGCCAGCCGCCGCCCAGCTCACAGTCAGACGCCCCGCACTGGGCTGTCTTTCCAGGCTTGGCCGAAACTGGGCTGCCAAAGCCCAGACTCCACCAAAGCCCCCAGGTGGCTGCTCCTTCTGCACTTCGGCAGGGAGCTGGAGAGGACACTCGGCTTCTGGCAAACCTGAGCCAGGTTAGGCACTTAGGCGTGTCGTATCCTAGCAGTTTCGGTGAATTTGCTACCTGGAGCATACACTCTCTCCCTCTCTCACATCCTTTTCGAACAACCTGTGCTCCGGTCTTGGGGAATTGTGTAGATAACAGTTGATTCGGACAGGGGGATGCATCTCACTCTGGGAAACGTTTGCTGTTTGCAGAGTATTTGGGAAAGCGGCTCATCTAATTGAAATCCGTCTGGATTTTGCCCTGCCGGGATCTGTTCTATGCAAGACATCAACATCAGCATGGGAAAAGGCTGTTATAACATGATGGCTGCGGTGCTGTTGCTGATGCATGTCGAGAAGACGACAGCAATGCTGGAGCCCTGCGGCCACTGTGAGCCTGGTAAGACCCAGGTCGCCCTGTGTTGGGCGTGTTCTGCTGGACACCTGGCTCAGCTGGGTTGGGGTCAGGGCTCGTGGGCACTGTCTAAATTCCCTTTTATTCAGTATTCAACATGTAAGGGGCCCTCTTCTTTCTGCTAATTTATTGTTGCCATGGCTGTCCTGTGTCATTTCTGATTCTGTTGTGATGTTATGGATAATCCTGCAAGTGCATCACTATAAAAAGCCAATCAGCAAAAGAAAGCCTACCACTGTGGCATCTGGAGGCGGAGTCATCGTCTCAAAGTCCAGCTTGGTCAGGGACTTCCTAATGCTCTGGGTGGTCACTGTCCACTGTCAAACCTGCCTCCACTCTCTACCCTTTTAGGAACTTTTTGTGACATCCACAAGAACCAGACTTGCACTGCCTGTCCTTCAAATAGTTTCTCCAGCACAAGGGGACAGAGGACCTGTACAATATGCAAGCTGTGTGAAGGTACCCTTTAGAGGAGGTCTTTTGGGGAGTTGAAATATGTCTTCGCCATCCGAATGCAAGCTGGCACACCCAGCTCTTCTCCCCTGGCTTCCCGGAGGCTCCTGGGCGCCACTCCTTCTGCCAGGGGCAGACCCAGTAAAACCATGTTCTGGAATTGCCAGATGTCAGGGAACTGGACCTTTGGACCAGAGCGGTCACTGGTGACAGGGGAGCGTGTGTGCTGTGGCCGCTGGGGGCGCTGTGAGCGCGGCTTGCGTCCTAGCGCCGAGGTTGGCATCTGGGACCTGAGGGCAAAGGTCACGAAACTCAAGGGCTTTGCAGGGATTTTCAAGGTCAAGAAGCCGTGCTCCAAGACCAGCAATACGGAGTGCCAGTGCAGCTCGGGGTTCCACTGCGCCGGGGCCGACTGCAGCATGTGCGCGCCAGACTGCCCGCCCGGGGCAGGAGCAGCCGGCGCTGGTGAGTACTTGGCTGCAGCGGGCACGCAGTGTCGGCAGCGGCCGCACGCAGGTGTCCTGCACAGGGCCGCGGGCCGTTCACGATGAAGTAGATTCCGGGGCTTAGTTGACACGCGTGAGCTCCTGAGTCAGGTCCATGATACCGCCACGGCTATTCTCCAGCCCGTGGAAATAACCTGAAGTCGCCTCGGGGCGGGAGAGCCTCAGGCATCTTTCGTTTCAAACCCCCTGGGCGCGGTGTTACCTTCGCGGCGGTGGCTCGTGCTGCGCCGGTGGCCAGGCGGTGGCCTGGCTTTGGACGCGTCTTGGGACCGAGTTTCGGGAGCGGCGCCCACGTCCTCGGGCATCGTCTCCCGGTCTCCTGACAGCTGGTGTGGGGGGGGTCAGCCCCACAGAGTAGCAGGTGCCTTCCTGTAATGACACCTTTTGGGGGGTTGGTAAAGACTGGGTAGGAAGTGGTAGAAGGTTCCACCACCTCACAGCAAGTTGCAAGTTTCCTCACCTGTCCTAGAGCACGTACATTTTGTCATGGTGGCAAGACAGACACCACAGGTGGCCCGCCCTGGTGGCCGTCTGGGGCCGTGGTGGCGTGCGGCACAGGGTCCGGCTGTCGCCCGTCTCCCCCACAACCAGGCGTCTGTCTCCCCACCTGAAGCGGCGCCCCTCCCCCACGCTGCCCCTAGGCTGCTGTCTGAGTTTCTCTTTCACTTCCCAAGAGCCTGCTCACTGCTGGCTAGGAATTGCTTCTCCCTGTGCAACCCTCCTGCCCAGTCGCGACCCAGGTTCTGTGAGACTGGACAAAGGGGAGTTGGAGGAGGACGGGCGTTGGGACCGCCAGGCCGGGCTGCCCCCGGGCCTCCAGCAGGCCTCAGCAGCCCTGCCCGCGGCCGCCCGATCCTCTCACATCAAGATGGTGGCTGAGCGAGCCACTGCCACCCTCTATGTGCCCTTGGCACCGCTGCCACTTAGCGCCTCAGTGAGCCCCAGCCCCGGGGCGGGCTCCGTCCACTGTCCCCGCCTGCACCCGCGGCCCCGGCCAGGGCCTCCAGGCGCCCTGGCCTGAGCTTTCGGCCTCCCCTGCAGGACCCTGTGTCTGGGGCGCCCCGATGCCGCCCAGCCAAGACTGCGGTTTCGGGACGTTCAAGGACCTGAGCCGAGGCGACTGCCGGCCCTGGACAGAGTACGTATCACTCCTTCTGCATCACACAACTAAGATTCTAGGTTGGACCTTTTTTCTTTTCTAAGATTTATGTATGTGTGCATACAGACGTGGGTACAGGCCAAAGGTGCAGGGGGTGAGAGGCTTCACCAGAGACACAGTGGGAGCAGAACAGGCTGATCGACGAAGTCCACTGCTGAGGGGAGCAGTGGGGAGACAGGAGGGGTCTGCCGCGCCCCGGCCGGGGAGCGAACTCGTGCTGCAGTGGCTGCCGATAGCTTCACAGTGCTGAGCCTTAACACCTTAGGCCACCAGGAAGGGCCTTCATTTGCTTTTTATAACGTTTTACAAAAATACTGGTTTGTAGCACATTGGAAAGTTTTTTAAAAAGGTCTTTCCGCGCACATAGTTGAGCAGTCAAGTGAGACTTCACATAAAGTGGGAGTGAACTGGGCTTGAAGGATAGAAGGAAAAGATAGGACAGAGGGGGTGATGACGATGACGGGGTGGGGTGATCCTGGTGGCGGAGGTGGGTGTGGGTGACAGTGGGGGTGGAGACGGGGTGATCGGTGGGGTGATGCTGATGGCGGTGGGAGCGAGTCAGGCAGGGGACAATTTGGCACTGGGTTCTTACTCTCCTTGAAACAGTCCTGGGGTGATGAATAATTCATTTTCCAGATGAGAAAAGTGAGGCTTAGAGAGATTTCCTAACTTGCCGTTGGTCATTCTGGCCAAACCCTGGGGGTCTGATGCCAGCCCCCAGAGCGAGTCCAAACATTTGCCAAGTTCTCTGTCGCCCACGTGTGCAGGAGATGCTCGAATGTGCTCGGGGGTGGGGCTGGGAGGTTAACCGGACAGCGCGGCCTGAACTCCTCCGGGGCCAGAGGAGCGGGCTGCTGGGTAGCAGCCGGAGGCCGCAGGAGGCGGGGGCAGGCAAGTTGTGCGGAGCCTGGCATGGCCCAGGTGGCTGGCACCAGGCTGTTACTGGGTGGAAAATGTTAATGTCTTTAATCTGGATGATCTGTATGAAACCAATCATCTTCACTCTTTTTGTGTCTGTCTAAGCTGTTCTTTGAATGGAAAGTTTGTGCTTGTGAACGGGACGAAGGACAGTGATGTGGTGTGTGGCCCGCCCGCCGCCGACCTCTTTCCAGGTACCTGCCAGGGACAGCGGGTGGCTGCTTTGGTGAGTTCAACCAGAGCGACGTTCCGGGGCCTGCCGGGGCCTGCAGCAGCCCTGGCCCCGTGGCGCCTGACTTCAAGGGCCCCGTCAGTTTTTCTCGGGTGTTTGCCGTGAGGAGCAGAGCCAGTGAGACTTGAGCCCAGGGGAGACTGCCCGGTGGAGGGAGTCGAGAGCCCCTGTTTCCTAGAGGGTAGCGGGCCAGGCGCCTTCGCTTCTGCGGGCCTCTTGGCAAAGCAGAGCGTCTCCGTGCCCCACAGCTAACTGGCTAAGCCAGCTGGCAGGCGATGCCCGAGGCTCGGCGCCTCCCGGGCTGGGGTGGCAGGCAGGCGGCCCTGTCGACAGCACCCGTCTTTCCCTCCAAGGTAACGCCACCCGGATCCTGGTCATCTTGCTGGCGCTGACGTCAGCCATGGTGCTGGTCCTGTTGCTCTGCCTCGCGCACCGTCTGTCTGTCGTCAAGCACAGCAGGAAGAAACTCCTGGACATGGTCAAGCAACGTAAGATGGACGTCGCGCTCCGGGCGTCGCCTCCTGGGAGGCGGCCCTTTGCAGGGCCGGGGAGGAGCGCTTTCCTTCACGGGAGAGGCTGGGGCAGCAAGCAGCGGCACCAAGCCGGGTCAGCGCGGCCCCCAGGGGACGCTCATCCATCAATGTCTAGAGACATTTCGGCCACAGCTGGGGAGCAGGGGCAGGACAGGAGACCGGTATCTTGTGAGGGGTCAGCGTTGCAGCTGAACACCCACCAGCGCAGGGGGTAAGCCCACAGCACCCAGCACAAGTAGCGGAAGCACTGTGATTCTGTCCAGGAGAGCAGGGCTCGGTCGAGGGCTCTAGAAAGAGGCCAGCGTGAGCCCCGGGCAGCTGTGTGCCCATCCGGTTGTGCGCGCAGGACAGTAAGGAGCAGACGGTGGCGTTTCTTCGTGAGCGCTGCACCCCCAGCTGAGAAAAAGCTCGGCCCCGGGCTAGACCCACAGCCTAGGATCCAGGAGGCGTGGGAAGGGTCAGCTACAGCACTACTCTGGGGGAAAGAGCGCAGGAGTGGACTCACGCCTCAGACAAGACACTGCCCGTAGCAGTCCGGCAGGTGTCTGGCAGGAGACGGCCCTCACCGAACCATTTATTCCATAAGTTTACCCACAGAGCCATCCATGACAGGTGAGCTCTGCTGGGGGCGGGGGCTGTGCCTGCAGGGAGCCTCCAGGGCCCTGGGGAGACCTGGGAACCCCAAGACTGGAGCTGTTGGAAAAAACACGTGAGGGAAAGAGTCAGCCCCACCCTGCACCAAGCGGATTTGCACGAAGGTTCTGAAATCTAACACCGAGCCCCAGCGGGGGTGTCTAACTGGCAGCCCCTCGGGCTGGGGAGACGGAAGCCTTTCGGTGTTCCTCGGCCTCTTGCGTTTCTTTCCCCTTTCGAGAAATGCCTGACTGAATTTTCTGAGACTTTCCCACTGGCTCTCTTTTTTCTTTTTGCCACTATTAAACTACAGGACTGCTTCAGGCTGCCGCTCATATTCCGGCAAATCTTCTCCCATTCGGCGGCTTTCTTTATGATACTCTTTTGAGATCTGAACCTCTATGCTTGAACCACATCTCTGATTTAAAGAACTATCCTGCCTCATCTTCACCCCAAACTGTATGAATATAGGTTTCATCAAATGCTTTGCAAAAGTATTTATGAGTAATTAGTGGGGTGCAATGGGACTATAATCCACTAATAAATTTAGGTTATTTAAAGATTTATTTTACTGATTTATGCATAAGAGAGCTGGGGTGCAGGCCAGAGGTGCGGGGTGTGAGAGGATTCACCAGAGACAGAGTGGGGAGCAGAGCAAGCAGAGACAGGAGAGGTCTGCTGCACCCTGTGGGTAGCTCCCTGGCCGGGGATCGAACTCAGGCCACAGTGACTGGCGATAGCTGGATGGTGCTGAGCAGTGGCCCCTGCACGCCCAGGGAGGCCCCATTTTAAGCCTGTTTGGAATTAGATTCATGAGGGATTAAAAATTCATGTTCAAAGCAGTCTTGGTTGGCTTTGGTTACCAGTGATGCTGATTCCTGGGGATGGACGTTCCCTCTTCTATGTTCTGGGAAAGAGTTGATACTCATTCTTCTTACATTGCTTGGTGGGATTCTCTAGTGAGATGTTCTGTTTGGAGCTAAAGCTCCTCAACAGTCACAAGTTCAATTTCCTTAATAATTGTAGGACTACTTGGGTTCTTTAATTCATGTTGAGTGAGTTGGGGTAGTTTGTGGTTTTTGATGAACGTGTCCATTTCATCTAAGTTGTCAGATAAATCTAAGTATTTCAGTTACTCGTGGTATTTCCTTATTACTTTGGTCTGCGGGGTCTGTAGTGTGGTGTCACCGGCCAGGCAGGGGCTAGGGCCCTGCGGTATGACCCAGCTCCCATACAGACAGGCGGAGGGGCCAGCTGGCCCCAGCCGCCAGGAGCCGTAGGGAGTCGGGGCTCACGGACTGGTGACAAAGCCAGGAAAGGGCACCCAGCAGACACCCCTCTCTGGGCACTGGAACGTGACCCCTGAAGGAGCTGGCCGAGGGGGTCTGTGTAGTTTTAGGGTTGCTGGCTGTGAGCACTGAAGAGCTGCTGCTTGGGGGGCGTGTGGGGTTCACGTCAGCTGTGAAGTAGGCATCTCACAGAGGCCGTGTGTCCACAGCTCCAGGCGAGCCAGTCTGGTTGCCAGGCCCGTGACGCCTCTGCTCCGTAACTGCCTTCTCCCCAGAGCAGCTCACCCGGGAAGTTGTAGAACCCATGGGTTATTTAAAACTGTGCTTTTCGGTTTCCAAGTATTTGGTGATGCCTCCGTTTTCATTCTGCTATTGATATCCAGTTCAGGTCTCTTCTACGCGATACGATTTCAATTCCTGTAAATCTGTCCCATGGACAACTCTTCTGTTGGTTAAAGTGCTAATATTGATTAGCTCCTCTTGATTGATGAGGTTGTTGAATTCTGTATCTTTGTCGATTTCCTGTCTACTTTATCAGCGGATGGGGGAGGGTCGTTTAATTCTCCAAATTTGATTGTATCTCTTCTCAGTTTTATCAAGTTTTGCTTCCCCAGGTCAGCACTGCTGTCTGGGGTATGTGCACTGAGGACTGTCACATCTTCTTGGTGAACAGACTCTTTTATAATTAGCCAGGACCCTCTCTGTGTCTGGTAATTTCCTTCATGCTTAAGTTTACTCTAGCTGACGTGAATCACTCCTGCTATTTGAAAAACATTAACATATTTGTGATCCATCTTTTTGCCTCATTTCACTTTCTACCCACCTACCTCTTTATATTTGAAGCGAACTCTTTGGAGACACTATGGGGTCACTCTGCTAATCTCTGCCCTTTATTGGTGTATCTAATCTGTGTATATTTAATGTAATCATTTACACCTCAGCACTTACGACACCATATTAGTTTTTGTTTCTGGTTCTGTTGCTCTCTGGTTTCCATTTCTGTTTCTCTCTTACTCCATTTGTAGAACAGCAAGTGTCTTCTGATTGAAACCCAGACATGTAGGATATGATGATATGACTGGAGCAGATGGAAAGCTGCTACTTCCTCAGGTTTTCTCTGATGGGGCTCACTCCATATTGGGGGGGGCTGCCTTGTTACTGCCAGGCAGGGGTAGGGTAGAAGTCCAGATTTGACAGCAGACCTCCTGGGGCGGAGGGGCTCCTAGACACAAGTAGGGGTTCAGGCTCCCCACTGAGGCTCTGCTGACACCACTGGGGTGAGGAAAGTTCCCAGGGTGTTAAGTTGGGGTGTTACTGTTCCCACGACCCCCAGATTTTGAAGGGGTGGGGTGGGGTGGCCTCGCTGCTGCTGGGCAGTAGTGAGTCCTGGCTCCCCTCCAGTCCCCCTTGGACACTGGCCAGGGGAGAGGAAGACAACACTTGATGCGGCCTGGCGAGAGTGGACGCCGGGCTCTGCACAGCCCTGGCTGGTGGGCTTGGGCATGGGCCACAGTTTTTTTCTGTTTTCTGCTAGAGTAGAGTGATTCTTATCTAAAAGCTTCAGCTTTCTCTGCAACTCTTTTCCTTGTTCTAGAGCAAGAAAGAATAGCCTTTGGGGGTGGGGGACACTTTCGATTTTTAGTCTCCATCTGCTGGCATTTCTGGGCTGTGGGTGTGTGCAGTCCCCAGCCTGGGGCATTTGAGGCTGCGAGGAAACTCAGGGAGCGTGCGGCCATGCTGCTCTCCTGGCCCGAGGTCCCTCCTCTGTCTCTCCACCACTCAGGTCCTTCTGACTCACGTAGACGGTGTCCACAGTTTGAGCAGCAGTTAACAGAAAAGCTAAATATGACTACCCCATCTTCAATGCCATTTCAAATGAAAGATTTCCCATCAGTAGCGCTGAATACATTCCCAGCTTCTCCTATGTTTTTGGAGATAGCACAGTAGTTAGGTTTTAGCTCTTTCTCATAAGAACAAGCACACAAAAAATGACTTTATTAGAATAGAAAAATATCTGCTTTGGGGGCCTGGTGGTGCAGGGGTTAAATCTCACTGTCAAGCTACTGGCAGCCACCGCAGGCTGAGTTGGTCCCTGGCCAGGGAGTGACCCATAGGGAGCAGCAGCCCTCTCCAGTCTCCCCGCCACTCCCCCCAGCAGTGGGGATGTCAGTACATCCGCCTGCCCTGCTCCCCACTCTGTCTCTGGGGAGTCCTCCCACCCTCCGCATCTCTGGCCTGTGCCCCAGCTTTTGTGTGCATAAATAAATACAATAAATCTTTTAAAAAGAGAGAAAAATATCTGCTTAGGATTGAAATTTCCTCAGCAGTAACACAAATACTTTACAAACAAAAAACCCTGAACCTGGAAGTTAATGTGTCGATCAGTTCTTTACTTACTAAGAACTGGAACTAGTGGGAATATCTTAAAATTGTGCTGTTACAGCTTCTCACTCACAAGAAACTGCCTCATGTATAATCCGAGTAACTTCTAAGCCAAAATACGTGCTGCATGGAAACTCCAGTCATACTTGGGAAAGCATTCCTTTCATGGTGGAGTGATCCGAACTCAAGATTGGTTTAACCATGGAGAAAATAATTTTTTAGGACCAATCAAATAAATACTTGGCAAAAGGGGAAAAAATCTTAAATAACGCAGAGAAAAGTTAATAGTTGCTTTACCTCTTTTTGATGAGTTAAGTTGAAAAGTTTTGCTAAGAGATGTTCCAGGGTTGCGATTTATGGAACGTGAGTGTGCGGTACTCAAAACAGACAACAAAAGATAAATGTCTTGTAAATTCCATTCTAGCATTTATGAAGCCAATCCAAGTTGCCCAAGAAGAAGACGGCTGTAGCTGCCGGTTTCCGGAAGAAGAAGAATATGAAATATGAAGTGGGAGGCCGGAGGGCCGCTGGGCACCTCCAGGCAGAATGAGCAGAGACCAACGCGCCCCCCGGCCACCTTCTAAACTGCAGACCCCAGCCTGGGCGGGCCAGCAGCATCCTGAAAAGATTTGTTTGCTAAATGCGATCGGATTGGCTCTGGAAACGATGCCATGTGAACAGAACAGGGGCACTTTCTAGATACTATTGGAGAAGTCTGGGTTACTTGGGCTAAGTTTTTGAAATCCAGAGAAAATGATATTTTAAATTTACCCCCCTGGTCAGTAGTGCAGCTAAAATTGCAGTCAAAATCAGTCCCCCCTTTTCTGGTGCTAACATGACATGTGACGAGTCATGAGAAGCAGGAAACATCCCCAAGCAAATTCCCACCGATTCAGCCCCTGCCCCGCCGCAGCAGGAGAGGACAGTGTCCGGGGGCGAGGCAAGGGTTTGGACAGAGGTCAGGGCCTGTGCTGTCCCGTGATCTTCCCATCCTCCCCGCTGCTGCCTCAGCCTCGCTCTCCCTGGGCTAGATCTTACTTTAAAAAAAAAAAAAAAATCATAAAACCATAAAAAAATCTTTGCTACACTCAAACGAGTGAACAAAATGTATATGAAAAGTATGACACGCAGAGGTCATGACCTGGGGTCCCGGCCCAGCCAGAGCCCCCCAGGATGCCCACACCCTGCCTGAGCACCTGCACCCAGCTTCTGGGCTGAGAAGGGCGAAAGCTGAGTCGGAATGAGAAGTCTACCCCGTGATGTGCCAACGGCGTGAAACTCAAGGAGCCCACGAACCTGGTTCTGCGGGACCACCCAGCCCGCGTGGGTCACCTCTGGGACACACAGCTGCTGTGACCGACCGTGCCAAGGACCAAAGGTGGAGAAGAGCCTCCTTTTAGAGTCCAAGTGAAGGTCAGCGTGTCCTTCTGCCCTGCCCCCCACCATGTCTGCTTACCTCCCCCCCCAACCCAGGACACCCCACTTGGGAGTACTGATTTGGGAAAAACCCTGACATTTATTTAACTATTATATGCCCTAAAACTATGCTATTTAGTCTTGTTTTAGTTTTGTAAAGATAGTATCAGACTGTGGGCGACATCTGTGACTCGCTTGCACCACTAAAATTATATTTATTAAGATTCACGCATGTTGCTGGAATGCATCTATGTTAGCACTGTAGAATTTTGTAGCTGTACCTTAACTTATCTGTTCTCCACCAAAGGAGAGGTGGGCTGTTCCCAGGTTCTGGGCATCACGGACCATGTTGCTACGAGTGTGCTTTCCAGTCTCCCGTGAGAGAGCGTCACTGGGAAGCTGGGGCGTGGAGCCACTGCTGGGTCTCCCCAAAGTTCATCTTGGCGAGCTGGACACCACAGTGAGAGCTGCTCCTTCACGCAGACCAGGAAGGGAGTGAGCTGCTCCGGCACGATGCACACGCTCCTCTGGCTGCCAGCTGCTGCCATGTCCTGCATCAGTTCCCGCTGGGAGTGACGTGGCAGGAGCAGTGACCGCTGTCTGGACAGTGCTTAAAGGGCCGCACATCTCTTGCTCAGCTGGCTGACCCAAGTCACGTAGTCACGCTGGGCGTCCTACGGCAGAAAGCCGAGTGTCTGCCCAAAGAGGGGCAGGAAGCATTTCGGACAGCGAGAGCATACTGTGGAGGCAGAGTGAGGCGGGGGCTCTGCCCTGAGCCCCTGGCTGTGGCCACTCAGTCTCACAAGGCTGTGGGCTCAAGGTGGCATCTCACGGTGGTCGTATTTTGCATTCTCTCAGTTCCCTTGAACATCCTGTCACATTTTTATAACATGCATTTCTTTTTTGTGAAATTAGTTGCTGTTTTGTGCAATGGTTGCATGTTCTCGTTGAATCACAGAAGTTCTTTATATATTCTAGGTACTGGTCTCTGGTCGCTTACACATGTCATACATATCTGCTTTGCTTGTCATTTGTTCTCTCTCTTTTTTTTACCATTTTACTAATAATCAAGTTTATTAATTTAATTTGATTAAGTTTAAAACCCTTTTCGGAAAAACACCGGGTGGTTTCACTCATAACAGGAGAGTAAAGGACCAGGTGAGAAGATAATAACGAACAACTATATACCAGAGACATTTTACAGGGGTGGGGAGGGGATGGGATCAAAAACAGTGGGTGGGGGAGGGAAATACACTGGACGGGTGATCTGGTGATGGGAAGCCCACGGGGATTACGACTGAGATGGAGAAAGGCACAAAATGATGTAAAAATAAATTATTATATTATTTTTAAAAAGTTAAAAAAAGTTTGTAACCTTTTTCATTATAGTTAACTTTTTTTGTCCCTAGGCTAAAGAACTCCTTCCCTATTCCAACATCACAAAGATTTTTCTTCACATTTTATTCTGAAAGTTTTAAGTCTGGTCTCTTGTATTAAGGTTAATACAAAAGACTGTGCATAGATAGGTCCAAGTTTGAGTTTTGTACCTGCATGATCACTAGTACCCTCCATTTAGTAACCCGTCCTGGACCCAAGGATCAGCAATAACCCTCATCATTCATCACCTCAGTATATTCCCGGGTCTGTTTCTAGGCTCTCTAGTCTGGGCTCAATTTGTCCTGCGCCAATGACATACTGTTTTTGTTACTGTAGCTTTATAATAGTTTTTGACACTTGGTAGGGCAAGATTTTAATGTCCTTCAATAGGATTTCCTAAAAGTTCTCCAGATAATTGGAGCTGGAAAAGATCATGCTTAGTGAGATAAGTGAGAAAGAAAAAAATACTGGATGGTTTCACTCATAGTAGGAGTATAATGGACCAGGCAAGAAAATAATAAGAATAATGAACAGCCATATACCAGAGACATTTTATGGGGGTGGAGTGGGGAATGGGATCAAAAACGGGGGGGGGGGGAGGGAAGTGCACGGGACTATGGTGATGGGAAACACATGGGGATTACAATTGAGATTAAAAAAAATGTACAAAATGATGTAAAAATAAACTATTTAAAAAAAAAGTTCTCCAGATATTATACATCTTTTTAGACTTATTTCAAGGTACTTTGCTTTATTTTTGCTTTTTAAATGATTGTGCTTGCTGTTGGAATCTAGAAGTATAGCTGATTTAACTATATTAGTTTATAGCCAGCTTCTTTGCTAAACTTTTCTATTATTTTTAACTGTAGGTAAGCTGATTCTTTGGGTTTTTCTATACATCCAGTCATGTGATGGTCAACAATATTTTCTTCCTTTTCTGGTTCTTGCTGTCTCACTTCTTGCTATACTTCTTGACTTGGTAGGCCCTCAGATACAATGTAAGTCAATGTAACTATGTCACACTTTATATAATAAATTGTTTTATTTAAGGTGAATTCCTACATTTTTTGGTAAATAGACTGGATCAGGTCAAAGAAGGCCCCTCATTCTGGTTTGTGAATAGAGTTAGTTTTTATCTGAAGATCATAATGTGTTTTTTTCAAATGAATTTTTTTTGAAAAACAAAATTATTTGATAGCAGCTGACTCGGCTTGTGGTTCTATCTTTGATTTAATCTAAAGTTCAACGGCATTCTAAGAAGATAAAAGCCTGCAAGAAACTTAGAATAATATTCTTCCCCCCTCCTCTGTAAAGGATGTATTTTCTTATGCATTGGTATCTAATTATGTGGCTTGAGAAGGCCTTGTTTTAATTTTAATAGACACAGTGACTTCACTGGATTTTTTTTTTCTTTACTATTTTATGGAGGGATTGGTATTAAGTAAAAGATGAAGCTAATGTTATAGAGGATATATTTTGTAATGTTCCAAGTAATTTTGGGCCCTCTTTGGTGATGCTGCAGGTTGAAGCGCAGCACTATGAAGCTGCCAGCCGCCGCTGCGGCAGAGTTCGATCCCCGCCCCGGAGGTGACCGCCAGGGCGCAGCAGACCTCTCCTGACCTGCCTGCTGCTCCCTCAGCAGTGGACTTCAGTCCATCCACCTGTCCTGCTCCCCACTGTGTCTCTGGTGAATCCTCTCACTGCCCACACCTCTGGCCTGTACCCCAGGTCTTGTGTGCATAAATAAATAATCTTTAAAAAAAATTTCCAAAAATCTTGCCAGGCCCATAAACCCTCCTCTTGGTGAGACTGACAGAAAATAAGACCCCCAAGCATTCTGCCTGCAGTGGCTACCACGGGGTCTCCCCAGGTTTTGGGGAATCTCAACAGGAACAGGAAGCTTCATGCAAGCATCCTGCAGACCTGGAATCCTGGCGAGGACAAGAGAATGGCCACTGTGGAGTGACCCTCTGAGGTAGGTGGCAAACGACATTTCGGGGTGCAGCGTGCCTTTGGGACGCAGGGCGGGGGGGGCGCTCTTGCCGCTCCATGCCACAGCTTGTGAACTGTCAGTCCCTGGCACTGAATGCTCTGCTGTCTGCCCATGCACAGAGAGCGGCCAGTCACCCCTCACCAGCTTGGGCCACCCATGGATTCTCACTGCCCCAGATTATAAACAAAGAAAGTCCACTGTTTATTCTACTATCTGCAGCAGGCGGGCCTGGCAGACTCCAGCACTCGCTATTTCATAACAGTCACTGATATGAAGCACAGGAACTTGGAATCTGAATGTTCGTTTCCCCTAAGTGACAGTTAGTAGAGAAAAGAAATCCAAAGAGAATAAAAGGAACCCCCTTGGGGGTTAACTCAGGACACTTAATAACTGAGTTTCATCCGAATGAATGCCAATGTCTGTGGTCAACAGAAATGCGTATATTTCGGGATGTGCCAGTTGGAGACAGTTTTCTAAATGCTTACGACCAGGCTTAGGCTACTTCTCAATCAACTTTGATTTTCTCCTCTAGTGGAACATTCTGATGGAAACTTCTCAGATGAGGGGCACGAGGCCCCGGAAGGTGTCTCCTCTGCAAAGCAGTCTTTCCATTTGTGGGTGCAAAGGAGGGCCACAGCAAGGGATGTGTGGTCTGCGTGCGGTGGGGCTCAGGGGTGAGCATGTCTGTTCACAGGACTTTGAAATAGGACACCAAAATGTC